AGAGAGAGAGAGAGAGAGAGAGAGAGAGAGAGAGAGAGAGAGAGAGAGAGGTTAGCACGGTAGTAGGAGACCTGCTCCGCAACACTCGCCGATGAGAACCGTGGAGGGAGTCTTCTTGTTCTTCCACCGGGGCCAGCTGCAGGAGGTCTGCCCCGTCTGCAAGAATAGCAACAGTAAAAATGAGCACAGCCAAAGAAACGTGCAAATCTGTCACATTGGCTTGCGACAACCTTACAATGTCAGTGTTGTTCACCATATCCGCCATATCCTTTCAGGTTTTTACGCTACTCACCGACATATGCAAATCACCGTCTGCGAGCAAAGAAGAAAAGAACATGTCATATCGCCATTCTCTCAACAAACAAGCCGTCCAGCCGCCTCGCAAACTGAATCCACAACCAAACCATGCCAACACCAACCATGCAGCCGAACACAACCAATCAGCCCACCCAGCCATGCAACCCAACCCAATCAACTAAAGCAAAGAACCAGAACAAAGCAACCCAACCCTCCCAGAACTAACCAAAACTAACCAGAACTAATCAGAACTAATCAGAACTAACCAGGACTAATCAGGACTAATCAGGACTAACGAGACCTCATCAGGACTAATCAGAACTAACCAGAACTAACCAGAACTAACCAGAACTAAACAGAACTAACCAGGACTAACCAATACTAACCAGACCTAATCAGGACTAATCAGAACTAACCAGACCTAATCAGAACTAAGCAGAACTAATCAGGACTAATCAGGACTAACAAGTACTAACCAAACCCCATAGTCGAATGGATTGATGGTGATCCAGGATTCCAGGGTCATCAAGCAAGCATCTGACATACGTAGACAGTATGAGTGAGACACGGATCCAAGCGAACGTGAAAGAAAGAGGCAGGCAGAGAGGCAGGCAGACAGGAAGGCAGGAATGCAGGCAGGCACGTGAACAAGCAGGGGAGTGAGCGAGCAAGCAAAGGGAGCAATTGAGCACACAAGTGTGGAAACTAGTGAACAAGCGAGCAGGTGAATTAGCAAGCGAACAGGCAAGTCAGTGACTGAGACAGCACGTGAGCACGACGGCAAGCAAGCAAGCAAGCAAGTGAGAAAGTGTGTGAGCAAGGCTGCAAGGGAGCAAGCAAGAAAGGGAGCGAGGGAGCAGGCAATCAAGCAGATAAAGAAACAAAGGTTGAGAAATAAACAAACACAAGAAGGCCTTCAGACTTGGGAAAACAGAGGGGAAACAAACATAAGATCGCAGAGGAGAGCAATCGTCTGGCCACCTGATGAGAGGCTGTGCAAAAAAACCAGCGAGGAGCTAGGCTACCAGAGTCGCCCTGGACCACTTGCCGGGCCAAAAGAAAAAAAAAAAAATTAAAAATTAAAAAAAATAATTTTAATTTTAATCATGGTAACCCCGGACCCGGACACCGGACACTTCCGGACTGTCTTCCGGACCAGTGTCCGGACCGGTCCGGACTGTCTGGTGATCCGGACATCACCGGACACCAGACACCACCGGACACCGGACAGTCCGGACCGGCCCCAGGGGTGCAAAAATGTCCGGACCCAAAAAAAAAACAAAAACAAAAAAAAAAAACGCGGGGGKGGGGGGGGTGTTGGCAGGCACTTACCTGCTTTGCACTCTGTGGTTCACAGGCAGCACAGCACGTGTCTTGCAGCAAATCAACCAGCACATTTAAGCAGACATGCAGATTTGCAAACAGTGCAAAGCAGGCACAAGACTAAAGAAACAGAGATTTTTTTTTCAAAAAAGTATGATTAACTTTGAACTTTGAACTTTGGATTTAGTAACTTAACTTATTATTAAGTTCATAACTTCATATATAACTTAAAAGTTCGAACTTTGCAGTTCAATTCAGAACGTCAGAGTCTTCAGACTGGCAGCACTGTCAGTGCTCTCTCTCTCTCTCTCTCTCTCTCTCTCTCTCTCTCTCTCTCTCTCTCTCTCTCTCTCTCTCTCCCTCTCTCTGTGCCCCCAACGGGCAGCAGCAGCGGGCGCCACGTCGAAACAGCCGCTTTGAAATTGCTCGGGCCCGACAAACGTCCTGGGCCGCCCCTTTTTTTTTTTTGATTTTTGCCTCAGGGGCCTCCATCCGGACATGGGGACCAGACATCGGACACCGGACACCGGACACCGGACTGTCTGGAACCCGGTCCGGACGTCTGGGCGGTCACCATGATTTTAATTTTAAAATTGGTAAAGAATTTCCATGTGACCCCTGAGGCAAAAGTTGCTCAGTTTATTTTTCTGCATAACATAGTTTTTTTCTAGGCTGTTTTTCCGGGCGCCCGGGCACCCGGGCACCCAACTTGTGCCCGGATACACACCCGGTTGCCCGGCCGGGCATGACCCCCGGGCAGGGTTCTGGGCAGTCCCAGCGCAAAAAAAAAAAAAAAAGTAAAAAAAATTCCAAGAGAAAAAATGTCGTTTAGATCAGAATTCCTCACCGAATCGGAGATAAAAAAAGAAAATAACAAAATCACACTAAGGCACCCCCCTTTAACCCCCCTTAGCCTGTTTTAAACAAATTTATACCCCCCTTCCCCCCCCTTGACAGCCAACTCTCAAAAAATGAAAAGAGCCCGGATTTGGGGTCCTCTGGGAGAGTGCAGAAAGGCACCAAAAAAAAAAAAAAAAAAAAAAATGTTGCACGCGCGGGTGCCTGGCCAGCCGTGGAAATCTTCCTAGGTTTTTCTCCCACTTCGTGGCCTTCATACATTCATGAATTACATGCGATGTACTTGTGGGGGCGAAAGTCTAGGATGGATCTATTCTATTATTATCTGATGGTAATTCTCCATTCATACGGCTCGTACCGTTGGATAGGAAGAGGATTCTCTAATAAGCCCCACTTAATTGGAGACTTAGGATTTATGTAATACTTGTGAATTGAAATATGAGTAGAATGTATTTAAACGTTCAAACGGATTACTGGGGCAAAATTCCTTGGACTTCAGTCGAGAGTTTTGTCTTCAGATTCCAGACCAGGATTTACAAGGCCTCGCTTTCAAAGAATTATGTTTCCGGATTTCTTGGATCTCTGTTTTGTTTTTTTTTCTCTGCTAGGACCTTCCCTGGTCCTTGCACGGCCGGGCAGCCCAAGAAAACAAGATGATCCGGGCGCCCCAGCTGGTAGCCTAGGCGAGGAGTAAATTATGATGGTACCACTTTTGAAGTTTTGAGTAAATTTGGTAAGTGTAGGCCAATCCTTTATCTGAGTGGGAAAAAGTTCATTGTTTTCACTTCAAACAAGGGCAGAGAGGGGTAATCCTTCCACAAAGTAAGCAACGAGTACCGCGTTCTCAGGTTCCCTCAACTGCAATGGAGGGAAGCGTCTCTGTGCGTTCATATTTGTAAGGGACGCCCGCACGGAGTAGTTATCTCGATTAAAAAGCAGTCTACGCTTTAAATGAGCGTCAGTGTCTTGTGACTAAAGAACAGGCGCACTTTTCCAACCAAACTCATTGTCAGAGAGGAAGCGATAGAGTACTACCACTCTCCATGAACCAGTAACGGTCCAACAGGTGTTTCATCCCGTATATAAAGTCCCGGTTTCCAGCAGTATAATATAAATTCTGTTTTCGAAAACCAAAAAAGAAGAAAATGGTAAGTGTCGTCCTTTGGGACATCCGTTAAAATTGGAATGATACAGAGATGATTAGCATGGCCCCTGCGCAAGGATGACACACACAAATCGAGAAATGTTCCAAATTAAAAAAAAGGAAAAAGAAAATAAAACAAAAAAAAACAAAACGAAAATGGTAAGTGTAGTAAACCTGGGATGCGTATATTCTCCAACAATTGGGCGGCCAACTGCGTGGGGACCACCACGCCTGTTTCCTCCAGCAGGCAGAGCTCTTCCCCTGCCCGAACTACTGCCTCCACGTTCTCTCTCTTCATAAGCATGCTCCAGCTCTCTTCGCAATACCAAAGGCAATGCGTCCAGAACTGTCTGATCCAGCTGCCACCATTAAAATCCAAAATTCAAACAAGTGAGAAGTTGAGAACTCATAATTTAAGGGGGGCAGGGGGTAATAGGGGGTATAGGGGGG